AGGCCATCATTGTGGAGGTATACTATCATTAGCTACAATGGACCGACAGGCTAAAAGCTATCAATCCTACTTCTCCACATCACCNCAGTGGCTCCAAACAGTTGCAGACCTGGGAAAAGAATGATAAAGGTTGCAATTTTTTACTTTTGAGGCTTTAACTGCTTGCTCTTACAAAAATGGCAGAAAGTGTATCGAGCTCCATTGAAGCGTCATTCACAGGAAAGATATGAATAGTACAATGTGTATTTGCTATAAGTGATAATGTGTATCAAGTTACTTATTTGTGGAACACTTGCACATCCTTAGCTAGCTTATACGCCTACTATCTATGCTTTTACACATTACTAGTATAGTATCACTGATTAAGCTTATACAGACTCCTCACCTGTGGCTTATTATTTTATATGATGATATCTCTCTCTCCCTCTTATTAGGTAGTAGAAGAGGTTGATGCTTACACTCTAACACCAAACAATGCTTTACACATCAGAGCCAACTGTAACTTCACTGATCAGTTTGGTAGGGGGAGAAGGATTGGAGAGGAGTGGCTGGTTAAATATGATGACACTGAATCATACATACCTGATGTCACTGAGGTACAGTGTACATGTAACCATCATGCAAAGATATAACAAACCTTAATTCTATTACATGCATGGGAAGAAAGCTCATTAGGGGCATAACTGTTGTTGAGATAGAAAGAATTCCTTCAGCAGTCTTGTTACAACCACAGAATCCATACATCAGCCAAACTATAATCAATGCTTATACACACACACCCACACAGTAAGGCCTGGTTCACAATATGACGCTAGGCCAACGTACCGTCAATTTTTAATCAAAAGTGTGGGCGATTTGACCTTTTGACGCATGCTTTCCGCTGGAATCGATCCAGATTCGATTCCAGCGTCAACATAACGTCAGGACTAGCGTAATATTGTGAACCAGGCTTAAAGGATAACAGGTTTGCACAAGACTTAACTCTCAGCTGATGGTCAGTCTGGTGAGGTGGCATTTAATGGATTAAATTAACAATCATAGTAATTCTTGTGTGCCGTAATCTGATTAGATTTGGTTGCTTAACACAATCAAAATATAACACTTAGTATTTTTTATTATATCCTACAGGAGGTTGTTAATGAGGTCCAGTTGACTGTTTTATCTCACCATCAGTATTGTGTGGTTGTTAATCCTCTTGGTGATGATGGTAGACCACGTCTTGGCTGTAGGGAACTGAGAAAAGGACCCAAGACTTTCTTCCTTCATCCTGGTAACTGATTAATATTAATTAAGTATTGATTTTATTATGATGATTTTGTAATTGTCATGTACATGTACATACATGGTTAATGTGGAAAGGTACGTGTATTTGATATGTTATGTATATGCGTTTAGGTAATGTACAAATGCCTGAGTATGTGCCATCTTTTTGTGCGTGTGCGTGTGTGTGCTTTTTGTTCACATGTCATGTATGTGTGTTTATTGTGTAGGTGAGAAGTTTGAGAGAGGGATACAAGATGCTATTATATTAGAATCTGATGAAGCTCTTCTTGTCACTGCTCAAGAGGAATTTGATGATGTTACTGAAGATGGTAAGTAAATGACCTTTTGCATTCTGTTGGTCTGGCATAGACTGCTGTGTGGGAAATACTAAGAGAATTCATGACTGTCAGATAATGTGTTATGACAAAAGATAAAAATAATGGCATTCATTGCATACACAATGTGAATTGATGGCTCATGCTCGCCCTTTCAAATGTTTACATTCACCCTAGGATAAAATAAGGTTAAAAATAATGGCATTCATTGCATTCCTAATATTGATATGTACATTATACTATTATATGTAGGTAGTAAAGTCCATCGTACTCCTGGTGACAGGTGGATGGTTCATGGACCAACTGACTATATACCTAGAACTGAGATTGGAACATACAGAGGAGGTATAGTATTTTTGTAAATACAAACCTCCAAAGGTTTAAACAGTCACATGATATTATTCATGT